CTAGGGTTAAATTAGGATATTACATTGTTGTATGATGAGCTGCGTCGCATCTAGCGAGAGAGTGCGACGACTGTCTACTGTCTGCGTTGCCTTCTTCTCGAGGCTCCAACGGCCAAAAATTTTGTTTTTTAGTTAGTTGCCTGCGGACGAGCGAGGTGTGTAGTTGTGCCTATCGAACTATCACCCTTAATATCGATTAGCTTTATGTGTGTTTCCTTTTCTTTTTTTTCAATAAAAATTAACTCTGTTACAATTATTTGCGTTGCCTGTAAAAATTCAACATGTAGAATGAGACACACGTAAATAACTATATTTAAGAAAGAAGTGAAGGAAACACTCTGTGAAGAAGCGCACAGTATGAGAGTACGGAAGAACCTGAGAGGCCTGGGCGACAACGCATGTTTTTATACCTGTGTACTCTCCTCAGGTATATGGAAATCCTGCACTTCAGGATGTGGAGGCTTTCCAAGACTCAAGAAATTACTTCTTGCTTCAACAAAACTATCTCTCGGGTCGTAAAGCCGATTACGCTGCGCGACGGAGTGGATCGATATCGTTGTCCGTTTAATTAAAAAGGGACAACTGTTTGGTTGATTTAGAATGTGCCACTCCAGCAAGTATGAATAAGATTGTGGCTGAATAAGTGTGAACTGAGCAACTGAGCAACTGAGCAACTGAGCAACTGAGCAACTGAGCAACTGAGCAACTGAGCAACTGAGCAACTGAGCAACTGAGCAACTGAGCAACTGAGCAACTGAGCAACTGAGCAACTGAGCAACTGAGCAACTGAGCAACTGAGCAACTGAGCAACTGAGCAACTGAGCAACTGAGCAACTGAGCAACTGAGCAACTGAGCAACTGAGCAACTGAGCAACTGAGCAACTGAGCAACTGAGCAACTGAGCAACTGAGCAACTGAGCAACTGAGCAACTGAGCAACTGAGCAACTGAGCAACTGAGCAACTGAGCAACTGAGCAACTGAGCAACTGAGCAACTGAGCAACTGAGCAACTGAGCAACTGAGCAACTGAGCAACTGAGCAACTGAGCAACTGAGCAACTGAGCAACTGAGCAACTGAGCAACTGAGCAACTGAGCAACTGAGCAACTGAGCAACTGAGCAACTGAGCAACTGAGCAACTGAGCAACTGAGCAACTGAGCAACTGAGCAACTGAGCAACTGAGCAACTGAGCAACTGAGCAACTGAGCAACTGAGCAACTGAGCAACTGAGCAACTGAGCAACTGAGCAACTGAGCAACTGAGCAACTGAGCAACTGAGCAACTGAGCAACTGAGCAACTGAGNTTCCCGGAATACGATCACGTGCCACCGGGTTCGGTGCTGGTGCCCGCGGTACTGCCGGTATCGCCCAATCAGGAGCCATCACTGGAATATCGTTTATGCTGACACGTTCATAGACCATTTCGTAGAACTGAAACATTCGCATAATAGTTTAACGATTAATCCCACTAGTTACGAGTTTTCATATAATAATCATTTTACTCGATAAGTTAAAGCATAAATTAATCATACATTGTATGATTATAAATAGAGCGCGAATTTATGTCCAAAATAAAAATTGCCTGTGTTAATTGCAAGATGAAGAAGTTATACGCGTACATACATTTCTCAATGATTTTAATGAATTCAATATAACACGAGTTAAAGTAGAATAAATTGAAAATCGAACAATTTTATAAAAATTGGGCAAATACAAAATTCATAATAAAATTCATCGACGATTTCACAACCATCTTTAATAATAATAATTTATTTATGTATACATGTATGAGATAACTAATATTCGATAATTATCTTAATTTAGGAAGTGTCCACATACTCGTGGACGGGGGCTGATATGCATAAAATCAACAGTCCAATTATAACTAACGTCTGAAATCATATGTGTAAATAAAGTTACAAGACATTAACGAATATTAGTTAAAATAAAATACTCTAAGTAAAGTTGCTTAATTACATTCAAAAATGGTGTAAGTAAGAGTTTCTTGAAATAATTTAAACACTGTGTTTGGGTGCGTCGTATTAGCACCCGAAATCGTCACTTCGCGATTTGAACTATCTTTCGGGTCGTAAAACCGATTACGCTGCGCGACGGAGTAGATCGATATAGTTGTCCGTTTAATTAAAAAAGGTACAACTGTTTGGTTGACTTAGAATGTGCCGCTCGACAAGCGTGAATAAGATTACAACTGGATAAGTGTGAACCGAGCAACTGACAACTGACCGATGACCGACGAATGACTGAAGACTAAATGACGATGAACTGACGAGTGACCACTGACTAAAAGAAGAATCGGTTTCGAGTTTTTATACTATTTCGTGGACAGAAGACTAGAAATTGAGTGGCCAGTGACGCGATGGAAGGGGATGTAAAAGTGACGTAGCAGGGGGTGCCGCAGGTAGCAAGAAACCCTGGACGGGCGACCGAAGCGGTGCGTGCTAGTGACCCTGTCATAAAAAATGCTGCCGATGAAGGTGTGCATTATTCCAAAGTGCAAAAATGTGCAAAAAAGTGCAAAGAAGATGGCTCGAAAATTCATAAACTTAGAAATTGCAAGGAAGAAGGCTGTGGCTCTACGCAATTGAAAACCTAACTATTGGATTATTTTCTCTCTTTTGAATACTCAGAAGTTTTTCCTTCTAGCATATAAGTTACAAAAACGAATCGACGCCGAGAGTCTCGCCAGAGTACCATTAGATAAACAATGATTTCATATGTATATAGAACAGAGTGCTCTTTGTCTTTAGGTGACGTTTTTGGTTTCGTCTTTGTGAATAGTCTTCAGTCTCCTGGAGCAATCAAGAGAGTAAAGACGGTCCTTCCTCGTACATCAAATTAATAAACTAAAAGGGATAAGTTTAATTCACTGCGTTTTACTTTTATTTATCTACCCATTTCCAATACTAACGAACGTGACCTTTTGTCGATTGCACGTCGTTCGTCGAAGGACTGTTAATTTGTCTCGTTGAGCCGAAGATTCCCCGTCAATAAATGCTTTTAAGGGATAAAAGGAAAAGTTAGTTCGTCCCGGAGAAAGTTAGGCGGATGCAGCCCGAAAATTCCGTTGGAACACCGATTGTCAACAACTATAGAAACGAGACGCAAGATTCGAATAATCGTATCTCCTCTTCCCAAATTGTCTATTTTTGTGCGCAATCCAAGCGCGAATTCGGGAGAAATTGCTGTATTCTGTTTAGGGTTGAGATTGATCATGGGACACTGACCTGCCCTCACAATAAAGCAACAAGGCCACACCCATTTCACACCGGATAGAAAGAGGGAAACACACACAGCCTTCTGCTGACGTCGTTTACCCGGAAGATCCCTGTGGGGAATCCCAGCTCCCTGATCAGATAGCATCTGACTGGCACCTGATTGCGTGTCACTTTCTATAAATACTCGGCGTTGTCAGAAAGTCTAGATGCGGTATTTATTCGGAGCTGAGACGAGAATGCGAGTGTATAAATAATGCAAGTACGATCGGCTGTAAACGCGTAGCACGCGTTTTCAATGTTACCTTAATATTGACCTAGACTTTGCTGACCGGTTACGAGCATACTCGTATTTTTGTTCGGCCATGGAAACACGAATATTTTTCGTTCGGGCATGACGGCTGCACGGAATAGTTTTGGCTTGAAATAGCCGGCCAACGATGTGTTAAAAATACAAGTAGAAATCAGAATACGAAGATTTAGGGGAATCAAGTGCTAGCGCGCTAAAATCAATACTGAAACGCGTTTACTTAAACAGGCTACATACTATGGATAATGAATCTAAATATTTCGAACACAGTGCTATAATTCTGAATATGTTTCATAGTTTACGGGTAAATCTCTTCCCAGATAATTATCTTGTTAATCGACCACGTGCCAATCGCATCCAATTAGCCTACTCTCATATATCCTGAATAAGAGCATAATCATATAATCGTGGCAGAAATTAAATGATTATCAAACGACAATCCTTAGGTTTTTATTCCCCATACATAATCAGTCGATTTTTTGTTCAAGCAAGTGTTGTCCCTTGCTCAGAAAAAGTCCGCCGTTTCGGCAGAGGGGCAAGGGGGGTATTCCACTCGCTCCGCCCGAGCTGCACGCCCCTAGTCCCTACTCTTCTATGACCTCCCGAAACCACCTCTATTAGTAAACGAGAAGACCCACAAGCTAATCGACGCGAGGGGCGGGGGGAATCAGTCGCCCGCTTCACCTAATCACGTCTCTTGTTCAGCGCGTAATTTAGCCAATAATAAACGAAAGTCTGGAATCCAAAAATATTGGAAGAGGCTAGGTGGAGCGGGCGACCGATTCCCCTTGTCCCTTGTCACTTGCGCCATTTTGTTTATGCGCATAGTTTCATTTTCTCTTTTTCCGTTATTACCTCCATAACGTTCTTAACCCTAGAAAGATAACCATATGACAACGTACGTAAAAGATAACCATACGCTTCAGAGGCGCATGCTTTTCTAAGGCGTCAATTTTATACTAACAATGGATATTTATTTAAGTTAATCTAGTCATTTTAAAGGTTTGGCATTATTGTAAAAATAAAATGCATTTATATTATATTTTTTTATATTTTAAGTAATTTTAAACTTAAATCACTAGACCTCTATGAAAAATTAACAAAAATCAACAGTCTTCGCAGGCGCCTCTGCGACGTAGGTTATCTTTCTCGGGTTAACGTTGCACGCTAACGTAGGCATAAGATATCCGTAAAATTCTTATACTCGAATAATACAATGTGCAAGCCTGGGAACATAGAGTAATACTCCACGAGTAAAACATGATTACATTTTCACTTATATTTCATAAATACTGAATACACATATTTAAAACACATATTTAATAATTCTTGAAAGAAAATCATATGATACAACATAATATAAAAAATATGTGTATATCTGCATAATCCAATGAAAAGTTAATCAAGATGCTAATCAGTAATTACAAATAATTATGTGTTCATTAGAATAATCTCACGTTTATGCATCAGATGCTCTTGCATCTTGTATTTGTTGCGTATGTTTCATTTTGCCTCGATTGTTCTACGCCTCCTGATTCTCGTCACGGGTCTCGCTTGTCCACGGCGCGTAAATAATATATATACACACACGCGCACGCAAACACGCCGTATAAAGCAAAGGCACACGCGCTAATGTACTCCTAGCCGAAAATGACGACCACGGGGGAGCGAGACGCTGACGGGAGTCACGAGGCGTTGTTTGTTTTTAATCCGTCGGACTCGAGTCCCTCGTTTCCTAGAAATTCCGTGTTGCGCGCACTCGGGGCTAATAGAAAGGGATAAAATGGACTTTTGAAATAATAGATAGACTACAAATATTTGTATTTGCCGAAATAGCACTTCGAATATATTTAACTACATGAAATATCCATGTGTAACTACTATCTCGAAAGAAGTTTATTTGTCAAATTTTATATTACATGAGAAGATCAAAATATTAGGGGGACCGGAAAATTATGTCGTTTGTCTACATTAAATTCAAACAGATAAATATGCGCAGAAACGACATTACTTTTCGGTCCCCCTAAAATATTTATATATATAGCCATCCTTTTCTTTCAGTTTCATTTTTTTTTCAGTGGAGAAACTGGAGGCAGGGCTGGG